GGCACGGGCAGACAAATATGGCTTGTTCTGTGACACGATAGTGCCAGTCACATGGCATTAAGCATTTGTCAAAACCCACCATATGTATAATACCAAGAAAGAAATCTAATGTAAACCATGGGCTTTGAGTTATGCAGATATTTCAACATACGTTTCTCAGTTGTAGCAAATGTATTGCTCTGGTAGGAGATATTGAGAGTGTGAGAAATTGTGTATGTGCTTGGGGGGAAGCAGGGAATATATAAAAACTCTGCACTTTGAGTCTAATTCAGCTGTACCCCTAATGCTGCTCTTAAAAAATAAGGCATATCATAAAAAGAAATGAGCTACAAAGGACAGAAAAGGAGAAATTTTAAAATTTGATTGTTAAGTGAAAAGGAACCAACTTGGAAGGCTACACAGTGTATTACCCCCAGTACAGTTTGTGCAGTAAGACTTCCATGTTTGTGGGCTTCTTGGTCATGGACTCAATATACCCTCAGATAGAAAATGTTTTTAAAATATTGCTGAATATGTACACACTTTTTTCTTGTCATTATTCCTTAAAGAATAGAGTATAACATTTGCATTGTATTAGGTATAAATTATCTAGAAATGACCTAAAATATAACAGGGGGAAGTTGATAGGTTATATACAGATATGTCATTTGATATAAGGGACTTGAGAATCCTCTGATTTTGTTATTCATGGAGAGGTTTTGGACACCAAGAGGCAACTGTAGGATATTGTGGAAAAGACACAACTATACAGGCAGAAAAGAAAAAGACTAAAGTTTGTCAGAGATATAGAAGAGGAAGCACAAGATATTTTTAGGGCAGTAAAAAGGTGAGTTAGTGATCCCTAGAGGTCGAAGAGGAGAGGGAAGCAGTACCAAAATACAGCTAGACAAAGAGTAAATCCTGATGTTCTGCAGCACAGTGAGGGGAATACAGTTTACAATTTATACATTTTATAAAGAACTAGAACAGAGACATTCTAAGGTTCCTAACACAAAGGAATGATAAATACTTAAGGAGATAAAAAAATGTTAATTTATATATAGTGTACATCATATAAATATATCTAAATGATTGCACTGTATATCATAAATATGTATGATTCTGTGTCACTTAATTTTTTAAAAAATAGAAAATAAATATAAAGAGTGAGTCTGAAGGTAAACCATGGATTTTAGTTAATAATAACAATTCATCAACACTGGCTCATCAATGGTAACAAACGCACTAATGCAAAATGTTAATAACATGGGAAACTGTGGCTTAGAGAGGTATGAGAGAAACTGCTGGGTCTTTTCCTCAATTTTTCTGTGAACCTACTACTGCTCCAAAAAGAGTCTGTTAATTAAAAAGAGAAAACACAAACAAAACCCCTCAATGACACACCATTTCTTATCCACTGAAATGTCTAAAAAAAAGACCCAAAAATCAGTTATGACAAAAGAGGTGGAACAATTAGAATTCTCATATTTCCTAATTGTAAAATTGTACAATCAGTATTTTAAATTCACTAAAAAGACCAAATATAAAGGATTAATAATATCAAAAAATTTTCAAGGTTGTTAAGTGTCTGGAATTCTGAGAGTTATATTCTGAGAGTGTAAAATGACCTAGCACAACTATGGAGAGTAGCCACAGTTTCTTACAAACAAACATTTACCCTATGTCTCAGCCATTCAACTCTAGTCATTACCTAAGATAAATGAGAATATATGAAAACATATTCATAAAGATTTGCAAGAGAATTTTTAAAGCAGTCATGTTTTCATAACATCACCAAATTGTAGATTTCTCAAAAGGCAAAAGAGAATAGATAAATTGTAGAGTTATAAATAGAAGCAAAAGATCAGAATTCTAATATATACAAAATGTTTACATTTTAAAAATAAATATGTTAAGCAAAGGAATCTAGACAGAGAAAAATTGGATGTATATTGACTCTTTTATGAAATTCAAGAACAGGTGAAACAAATTAGTGGTGAAAAATCAAAAAGTGTTTTTGAAGGTAGAAAAATTAAGTGAAGAGGCAAACAAGAACTTTCTTTCGTAACAAAAATCTCATGTATCTCATTTTGAGCTTTGGTTACTTGGTCAATCTCATTAAAACAAACACTTTAAATCTGCAGATTGTACTGTATGTTATTAACATTTAATTTTTTTAAAAGGTATTGGCTGCACTGGTATAATGGTTAATAATGCTTCCTTTGACAACAAACAGACTAGGTTTCAAATAAAGATTCTACTATCTATTGCCAAATTGTAAATGAATTAATTAACCTTCTGAGCCTCAGTTCTTGACATGTAAAATGAGAGCAAACACTTAAGGATTTTTAAAGAATTAATAAAAAGCATATGTAGAATTCTGAAGATGGTATTTATTGAATAATTAGTATTCAATAAATACCGCTTTTATTATTTCAACAAAGTCCTTGTAAAATGCCTCTTTCAAATACCTTTTATGTCTGTTATCTCTTTGTTTGTTTTCCTGCGTAGCCGGTCTATGTGCAAATCACGAGCCTCACACAGCTTTGGATTTTTCTTTCCTTTGAAACAATCGGAGCATCAGCCCTGCAACTTTCATGTTCCAAGCAGGAGCGAGTACAGCATCATTTGAGCCAACTATGACCGATATGGGTTTTCAACAATGCATCAGTGGCATCTTACTGTAGTAAAAATATCATATTAGTATCTTGATGTGATGAACAATAAGATCTTGCATCAGATTTTTCTCTGTAAATTTATATATAGTATGATTCTGGGCATCTTATGAATGTTTAACAAAAGGTGTTTCATGAACAAGTGATTTTAGAGTTATGAAAACTATAAGTGCTTATTTTATTCACTCGCAAGCATTTGCAGCAAGAGGAACAGCTATGTAGGAATGAAGGGAAGACAGTTCTGTGGTCATATACTTTCCCTCAACAGCTCCTAACTGACTGCTTGGCGCGAACCCAGACTCAGGAGTGAACAAAACTGGGCTCCAGTAGACTGTTTTCCTACTTCTGTCTCGATCCTAAGTACTCCTTCCCCCAGTGCTTTCCAGTTATTTTTCTTTCTATTATATATTGATATAAGTCCCAGAGAGTCTTTTCTAATCAGGAGACAAACAGATGCCAGCATTCCACAAACGTTTTGCATTTATTTCCCTTTTGTTTCTACTAACCTTGAATTTTCAAGCTGTCGCATACAGAAGCAAGGAGAGGAAGTTGTGGTGGGTGATACTTGGCTCAAAGGTGTTGAGGAGGACTTGCATGCCCACAGGGGTGATGTGTGCTTCAGGAAGCTGGAAGATTTTACCAGAAGAATTTAGGGAGACTTATTTAGAAATTGTGGTCTAAATGTATCTTTACACTCAGGACGTGTTAGGCTTTGCTATTTTTAAGGTGGCCAGTTGCCATAAAGGGGTTGTATGTTCCTTGGTCCTCCAGGGCATCTGATGTTGGAGGCAAATAATTTATACAAATCAAAATTGAGCCCCATTTCAAGACTCTGGGGTCTGAAAGGATTAATTGCCTAAAATGAGGAAATATATTTTCCAGCAAGGAGAAACTCAATATATCTACATTTACTGGCCCCTCCTGAATGACTGAGTACTTAATCCCCAATTTTTCTCTTCTAATTCAAGAATATTACCACAGAGTAGCAAAGGTGCTGATTATGAATTGTTCACCTTTCATTTCTAATTACACCTACACAGTTTCCTTTGTTTCCCTGAATAATTCTTAATCCTTTCTGTATGGCTTATGTGTCGCCTGTTGACACAATATGGGGGTCTTTTGATGGAAGGGATTTGGTGGGAGTTGACATCATGCAGTGGCACTATTCATGAAGGTTCCACACCAGAGAGGATAACCAGGTCCTACTGGTAGCCATTTAGGCTGTGGGATGATCTACAACATGGTTGACTGAATGCCAAACCTGTCACAATTATGATTAGTGGGAGAGCTTAATTTCTGATTCGTGTATCCCTTTGTATCAGAGCAGGAAAAAAAGATGCTTTAGTGAGAGTTGAAATGTTGCAATTTGAAAAAATGAACTGATGTTCCTAAAACTATTCTTAGCCTGAAAGGACTATTTGGCAGAGTGGATCACAGGGGAGCATGAAGGTTATGAGTTTAGAGTTGGCCCCTCTTGGGACTCCTGCATGGATCTGGGCTGTGAACTCAAGGGGGGCACTGAAGACTACAGAGTATGGTGACACGTGTTCTGTAGAAGCAGCTTTCTGTGTTCTATGTCCCGGGCCCCTCAGTGGGCAGACTTCTTTGAGGAGAACAAGACCAGCATACCCTCAGGCACCCCGAAAAGGCACTTGCCTTCGAAGAGGTTCCTGTAGCAACCACATCCCCTCAATGGCATAAAACCTCCGCAGTCTCATTTGGAAATTCTCCTTTCATGATTTAAGGCATAGTATCGCTGGGAATATATACATGCCTTCCTTTGAGGACCGTGGCTAAGAGTTTAGCAGGAGGAGAGGAATGTAGCCCTCGTCATCCTGGTCTGCCCCCTTGTGGCCTCTTCTTCCTCACTCTGGACTCTCACCCCACACTGCAAAGAGCCTCTTCTACATGAAACATCCTTGATATTTATTACTTTGTATATTTCCAGAAAACTGCGCAACAAAACTGAGGTTGCTAACTCCCTTCAGGCAGAAGATAGTATCCTGTTACCCAACAATTTTAATGTCTTCTGCTTTATTTGTTAATTTATCTGATGCCTCTGATATTTTAATACATGAGAATTCCCAGAAATTTTATCTTTTATTCTTCAGCTGTTTTCATGTACATATGTGAAAATATAGAGAGACGTACTTCTTTGCCTCTTTATTGTATTGTAGTGAACCTTTTTGTTGTTCACTCTAAAAACATCTTTCTGGCTCCCTTCCTTCTCCTCAGCTATTCCACACGTACTTCCCCCGTGTGACAAATGCTGTCTTGCACAGATTTCTGACACATCTTCATGTGCAAGATTTCTTTGCTGCCTCTCTGCTCTTGGCCGTGCACTTTCTCCGCCTGTCTCTACAGTGCCCAGATCCTTCCAGACATGTGTCAGGAGTTTCCCTCTCAGCGCGCTTCTTCTGCCAGCACACTCACTCCCACAGCTCTGTTCTCATAAATCACAGCCAGACTGGACTCCGGCTCAGCTGCCTTCTGACCGCTGTGAGCCTGGACAGGGCATCTCTGGTGGCTGTGCCTGTCCCGCTCAAAGCTCACCCAACTCTCCCTACATCCCACAACTTCTCACTTTCCGGGGGCAGAGACCTGCCTGCCCTCCCCATCTTTTTACTCCTGCATTGAATTATCCTAGCTATTTCGCTCAGCCCCCAGCCTCTCTCTTACGTCAATGCCTTCGTATCTGAGCTCAGACCACACCATCTCCCCCCTTCTGGGCAACTTCCTCCTTGCCAGTGGTCTGTGCCCACTCTAATTACAGCGCAGGCGTTGTTCGAGCATATAAATCTGCTCCTGTCACTCGCAGGAGCGCTGTGCCTGAGAAGGAGACTGCCCAGGGGCCTGGACCCGCTGGGGTGGACGCCCCTCTGCAGCATCCACTTGCGGTGGTCGGGGGCGGGGCTGGCCAAGCCCCCTCCCCTTCTGCTCACTGCGGAGAGCTGCGGGCGGCAGAAGCAGCTCACTTCCTATTCAGCATTCAGCAGGGAGGGAGCTCGGCCACGTAGGCATTCTCTGCTCTCTGGAGGAAACGGCCCAGCAGCTGTCGGAGGACAAGACCCACCAGCTGTCAGCCAAAGGACATGTCGCAGTTAAGTAAGAACCTGGGTGACTCCAGCCCTCCCGCAGAGGCTCCCAGGCTGCCTGTCTATAGCCGCCCCACGGTTCTGATGCGCGCCCCGCCTGCTTCCTCCCGGGCTCCTCCGGTCCCTTGGGATCCTCCTCCAATGGACTTGCAGGCAGCGTCTCTGCCTGCTTGGCAGGCACCCCAGCCTGCCTGGGAGGCTCCGCAGGGCCAGCTGCCAGCCCCAGTGGCTCCGCTGGCCCAGCCTCCTGGCCTTGGGGGCCCGCTGGTCCAGGCTCCCCCGCTGGGGGGCCCGATGGGCAAGCCTCCGACTCCTGGAGTCCTGATGGTCCATCATCCACCTCCTCCAGGAGCTCCGATGCCCCAGCCTCCCACCCCGGGAGTCCTGATGGTGCATCCTTCTGGAGCCCCTATAGCCCACCCTCCTCCTCCTGGGACCCCATTAGCCCGCCCTCCTCCTCCTGGGACCCCAATGGCTCATCCTCCCCCTCCTGGGACCCCAATGGGCCATCCTCCTCCTCCGGGGACCCCAATGGCCCACCCCCCCCCACTGGGGACCCCAATGGTCCATCCTCCCCCACCGGGGACCCCGATGGCACATCCTCCACCACCGGGGACCCCGATGGCACATCCTCCACCGCCGGGGACACCGATGGCACAGCCTCCAGCTCCAGGAGTCCTGATGGCCCAGCCGCTGACTCCAGGAGTCCTGATGGTCCAGCCACCTGCTCCAGGAGCTCCGATGCCTCAGCCTCTACCTCCAGCTGCCTTGATGACCCAGCCTCCACCTTCTGCAGCCTCGATGGCAAAGCCTCCAGGTCCCAGTGTCCTGATGATGCATCCTTCTGCTTCAGGAGCTCCAATCACCCAGCCTCCAGTCTCAGGAGCACCAATGGGTCAACCAATGGCACCCCCTGCTCAGCCTATGGCATCCTGGGGACCCCAGGGTCAACCTGTGATCCTGCAAATCCAGTCCCAGGTCATAAGGGCACCTCCACAGGTTCCCCAGGGGCCACAGACCCCCCAGGTGCAGCTGGCCACAACCCCAGGCTGGCAAGCCACCTCACCTGGATGGCAGGCCCCACCTCAAGGCTGGCAGGCCACACCCTTGACCTGGCAGACCACACAGGTCACCTGGCAGGCACCACCACCTATGCGCCAGGGGCCCCCACCCATCCGCCGGGGCCCACCACCCATCCGTCCTGGTCCCCCTCCAGTGGCACGCCAAGTCCCATCTGTGACCCGCCAGGCACCACCTGTGATCCGCCAGGTACCACCTGTGATCCGTCAGGCACCGCCTCTGATCCGCCAGGCACCTCCACCCATCCGGTCAGGCCCACAGATCCTGGCTACCCAGCCACAGCTCTGGCAAGCCCTGCCACCCCCACCTCCACTGCGGCAGGCCCCGCAGGCTAGGCTGCTGGCCCCGCAGGTGCAGGGGGCGCCGCAGGTGCCTACGGGACCTATAGTTACGCAGGTACCTGCAGCGCCACCCGCTGGCCCGCAGGTGCCCCAGCCAGTGCTGCAGGCCCCGCTGTCTGTCCCACTGCCTGGTCCACTACCTGGCCCACAGGCTGCTCCATCGGCTGTACCACGGGTTCCCCAGCAGGCTGTGCACTGCCCATCCATCATCTGGCAGGCCCCCAAAGGCCAAGCCCTGGTGCCACATGAGCGGCCGACGTCGATGGAGTTTCAGGAGGTACAGCAGGCCCAGGCACTGGCCTGGCAGGCACCAAAGGCACCCACTCACTTCTGGCAGCCCCTGCCTGCGCAGGAGGCCCAGGGGCAGCCCCCCCGGATCTTCCAGCTGGAGCAGCAGCCCTTTCGGGGGGCTTTGGCCTCCCAAAAAGGCCCGCAAACTCAGCTATCCCCCCACCAGGCCCAGCCCATGGGCCCGCAGACAGAAATGCCCACGATGCAACTCCAGCCTTCTTGGCAAGGGCCACCCCCCATGTTGCAGACCCAGCCAGGAGCACCAGTAGTTGGGGCAAATTTTCCCAGGGGCCAGCCTAAATCACTCATGACTCCATCAGGAGAATGCAGGGCCTCCTCTTCAGAACCTAAGGGTTCTTCTAGAGAACGCAGGACCTCTACAAAGGAAAAAAAGGGCCCTTCAAAAGACCGTATGATCTTTGCAGGCACCTTTTACAGTCCAAGGGCAGTGTCAGTTTCCAGGGCACACCTGCCAAATGCCTGGAAAAATTTGCGTGCCACATCAGACACCTTTTCTGCCACCTCAAGGGTGTTTCCATCTACCTCCCACTTTCAGCCTGCTTCTTCTAATGCCTTTACAGGGCCATCTGCCACCTCAGAGAGCCCAAAGTCACTGCCATTTGCGCTGCAGGATCCATATGCCTGCGTAGATGCCCTGCCTGCAGTTCCGTGGGTTCCACACCCTAATGGGAATGTCTCAAAGGCATCCAAGGCTGAACCCAAGATCCTGATGGCTACAGCACCTTCTCCCCAGGCAACTGCCACCGTTCCCGAGACCTCCAACACTGTCGAACCACCACGTCGCTCGGGCAAAGTCACCCGGAAGAAGAAGCACCTGGAGCCTGAGGAAGACAAGAGGGGCCATAGAATGACCTCACAAAACTGGCAGGGCTCACAGCTCTGGGGAAATTCCAGTCTGAGTGACTGGGAGATCCAAAGTTCTCTCCAGGTTCTGGGTGACTGGGGTTGCCCGAGCACTTCTTTTGGGACGAATGGCTGGGAGAGTTCTAGTATGTCCAGGGTCCTGAGTGGCTGGGAAGGGCCCAGCACATCTTGGGCACAGGATCCCTGGGAGGGCCCGAGCACCTCAAGGGGCCTGGGTCACTGTGAAGGCTCAGGTAACCCTCAGCCCTTCATGGCCTCTGATGTCCCATGCCTCTCTCACAGATTGAGGGCCACCCAGGAGAATCTCAGAGGGGAGACTCAGCAGTTGTCTGCCTTAGATGAGAGAGCAAATGCACTTGTGCAATTTCTCTTGGTCAGGAACCAAACTAAGGTGCCGATCCAGGACTCAGAGACGGTGAATGTCATCACCCGAGAGTATGAAGATCAGTGCTTAGACATCATCAGCCATGCCAACAGAAAGCTAACGTGTAATTTTGGTTGTCAGTTGAACGAAATTGACACCAGAACTCGCTCTTACATTATCATCAACAAGCTGGGGCACCCTCAGTGTGATTTGTTGGCATCCTTTATAGACAGGCCCAAATTTGGCCTCCTGATGGTGGTTTTGAGTCTGATCTTTATGAAAGGCAATTGTGTCAGGGAGAATCTGATCTTCAATCTTCTGTTCAGGTTAGGGTTGGATGTCCGGGAGACAAATGCTCTCTTTGGAAACACGAAGAAGCTCATCACTGAAGTGTTTGTGAGGCACAAGTACCTAGAGTACAGGCGAATCCCTTGCACCGAGCCTGCAGAATATGAGTTTCTCTGGGGGCCCCGAGCATTCCTGGAAACCAGCAAGATGCTGGTCCTGAGGTTTTTGGCTAAGCTCCACAAAAGAGATCCTCAGTGTTGGCCATTCCATTACCTTGAGGCGCTGGCAGAGTTTGAGTCTGAAGACTCAGATGAGGATGAGCCTGATGTCAGTGATGATTCTGATGACCCCACCAGCAGTGCCCCTCCCCACTAATAGGTGTTACAGAAATCCTGTTCCTTTGGGTCCCTGGCCAGAGGCCACCAACAGGGTGTGGGGGATGTCTTGTTTCTGGTGTTTTTGTTCCAGTTTTGTATAAGTGGATATTTGAATTTCAAATCTGGTTTTATATCTGCCAAAGCTTTGTATATTTTCATGTGGTATTGATTTCACCTGGCTACTGTTCTCTTGGCATTCTGGCACCTGTACCTTTAAGTGAGATCTGTGATTCTATGCTTTGTGTTCTGATTGTTATGTTCTGGTATCAGAATTGTGCTGGCTTTGTGACTCGATCTACAAGCTAACCCTGTCATTCTGGTACAGTTTATGTAAAATTCTAATAAGTTGTTCTTTGGTTGTTTAAACAACTCATGAGTACAAAGTGTCTGAATAAGAGTAAAGATCTATATCTATATATCTCTATATAAATATAAATATACTTTCGGCATAACATGGGAGTGTTTGTCTTTATTCTAATTTTTCCCCTAGAAATTGGGTGCCATGTTCTACCACACACTGAGCAGGCACGAGTGCCAGGATTACTACCAGGATAGTAAAAAGCGTGGTGATGACACCGCTTTCCAAGGAGAGTACTCCATTCATTTATAGATCCAGAGAGAGTGGTGGGTGGTGAAATGTAAGATTTCCATTAAACAAAAGTAAAACTTCACAAGTCAGGGAGGCGGAATCAAGAGGATGCTGCATACAGCATCTGATTTATTCCTGTCAAGAATCCTTCAGATTAGACATTAGTATTCTTAGGTGAGATGCGAGACACAATTGTCCAAGAGACATCACTCAGTCCTATGGTCCACAGGTATGTCCAGCAATTCTGACGTGTGTTTCATCAACATGCTGGCATGGGAATGGAAATGTGCCTCTGCAAAATGCCCAGGGCTATAACTGGGAAAGAACTGGCTTTAAAGAACCAGGAGCCCTACCTTTTGCAGGTGGCAGTGGCTAAATGAAGGTGGAGGAATGGGAGGGGGCTTCCTTGGAACATGGAAGTATAGGCGATGCTCGTTGGAAGGAAGAGTTAGTCCTAGTACACACAAGGAAAGAGCTGGGTATTTCTAAAGTGTTTAAATAACCTGTCAGCCTTGGGTACAGGACCCCAGGGGAAGGAGCTGCCACTGGCCTGAAAGTTTTGTGGACACACACACAGGTGGTACACATAAAAAGACTTCCCAGAGGCCACTACTTAGCCCGACTTGCCACTTGTTGTCTGATCAGAATTAGGAAACCCAATCTCATACTGCATTCTTAGAGTAAACCTGAAGGCCCAGGTAAGTGGCGATGGTGGAATTTGTCTGCCACCTAGTGGCACCTAGGCAGTGCTACAGGATCGCCTTGGCCGCCGCCCCTCCGGCGGTGCTTAACTTCACATCCTGGATTTGCAGGTGGTGGTTACTGATGCTTGCTTCATAACCTTTGCCCATTTCTAGGTAAATGGATGCACCTGGAGACCATACTCGTAAGTGAAAGAAATCTGACACACATGTGTAAATATGGCCTTGTCTCTCTGGTGTAAGAAATCGAGAGTGTAAATAAGGTCCAAAATGTATAATAGATATTGTGAAATAGGAAGAAAATGTTAAAAAGGAACAAGGAACTAGGGAGGGGGAAAGAGAAAAGGAAGGAAGGGAAAAGAAAATGAGAAAAGAAGGATAAATTGGAAACAAAGCTTTGCAAATGAGGGGAAGAGGGGTTGAAAGGAGGGGAGAGGAATGGGAAAGAAAAAAAGAAGCAAGATCTATCAGATACAGGTATAAATTCCCTATGATGAATGTAATCATTATGTACATCTAAATTGTACCAATAAACTTAATTAAAAATAACCTTTGCCCATAATTTTACCTATATCTGTGTCCAAACAGTCTTTTTTTTTTTCTTTTTTTTCAAGTACCATCCAAGCTTCTCTGGAAATTGCTTCCTGTGGTGCTGCAGTGCCAGCCACTTAGAAACCTGAGCCAGAGGGCAGGCAGAGGAGAGGGTTGGGTTGGGGTGAGTGGCTCTAGCTTCAGCTGAAGGAGCTTTCCAGGACAGCTCACCTGACTCCTGGGCCTGCCTGGCTGCTCCAGATCTTCACCAAGTACATATGCGGCCAGGTCTTTCTGAATCTGGGAGGGACAGAGAGCCCTGGCCACCTGCCCACGATCAATCTTCAGTAACAGTGACAAAGACAAATGCCTGCTGAGTGTGACAGCGAGGGCCCAGGCTGACTGAGAATCATTCCACAAAGAGGTGTAGCCAGGACAGTAAATAGGCACATGGATCTAGTATTTCTTATTTGATTTTAGTTTATTTATGATCCTTTCTTTCACTTTCTGTAAACCTGCTATTCATACAGTGCTGGAGCAAACTGAAATGCTCTTTGTGGAGCAGTTTGGATTTCATCATCTTGTTATCCAGCTGCCACACCTGCAGCTTGTCCCATGGTAGACAGGTGGGCTCCCGTGTGCAACACAAATCTCAAATTTCTAATACAACTTTCATAACTATCTTTAAGGAACATTAAAGGCCAAAAGCCTAAATTTGATTAAATTATAAGTCAAAAGCAATAAAAACAAAATGTTTTTCATTACAAATGAAAAACTAAATTAGCCAACTATTCTACTGCAAAATATAAGAACAACTGTTATGAAAGCAGAAGGAAGAAAACAAAGCCTTATTGGGTTTTACATTATAATATAAAATACAGGACAATAAGGGAGGAAATTAAAAACCCAGTTATTAGAAAATAATAAAATCTAGATAAATGTAGTATAGAGATTTTTTACTGTGCAATGGTAAAAATGAAACCCCTATAAATGAATGAGTGAAAAGTATCAAGTGACTAAAAAAACCAAAATAAATACAAACAGCAAATGGCCATTGAAACTGGAGCATTTCCCTAGTATATAAAGATAGAAATATTAGATTAGTATTCCTGTTATCAATTGATTGCTCTGGCACAGAATAAACAAAATCACATAGAATATCCAATGTGAAGAAGGTTATTATGAAACCAGCAGATGATGAAAATATAATTCTATAATTGTCCTGAAACCAATTCAGCCAACTGCATCTTCAAGAGATTTAAACATATTAACACTGTTTTATCTATAAACTCCCAAATGAGCATAGATTGAAGGTAAATAATCTGTAGTGAAGGCAAAGGCTTCCTCTCAGAGACCTGCTTATAGGTGAAAGAGACCTTCTATGTTTAACCCTTCAAAACCATCCTGGGGTCAAGGTGATCCAATAAGATTTTTCTGAAAAGGCCACAAGATTTTGCAGAAAACAACTTGTGGTTTGCTTCAAATGCGTGGAAAGTGGAAGACATAGCACCCAAAGATATGTGCTGTGTACCAGAGTACGACAGTCTGGGCCTGCAAACATGAAAAGTGAGTGTGAAATAGGAAAAAAATGTTTATAGGGAAAGGGGAATGGGGGGGGGAGCAGAGAAAAGGAAAGAAGGGAAAGAAAAAATTGAAAGAAGGGAAAAATGGAAACACAGCTTATGTATGAGGGGTGGAGGGGTTGAAGGGAGGGCAGGGAAATGAGAAAAAATAAGAATCAAAATATTTCATGTACAGGTACAAATTCTCAACGATGAGTGGCATCAATAAACTTAATAAATTTTTTTTAAAAAGTGAGTGCTGCCATACAGTGGTTACATAGTGACCTCAAGAGAACCTATTTTTCCTTAAGGCATTTAAATTACTGTGAGGAACAACCCCCAAATAATTCAACCTTTATGTTTTAAATCAGATATGGTTAATTAATTCAATTCAAATTTAAAATATTTAAAAACTTTGATAAAGTGGGTGGAAGGTGTTTAATTACAAGCAAGTTAATCTATTGGATATCTACCTTAAAATGATAATCTGAGTTGTGAATCTGTTTTACTGTAAGCCACTCTCCTGAGAGCAATGTGGAAAAGATTGTCAAAGTCATATGTCAACCAACCTTGAGAGCAAACACCAGGGAGTGACCGTGGTCACGATCAATGGGATACTTCCTTCTAGATGCAGGGGCTGAATTTCCCGGGGTCTCAATAGTACCCACGCCAGCATCAGTAGTAGCCTACAGCATTAGTTTTTCTTCACAGCTATAGGGACACACACAAAGCACCAGAACCTTCTTGCCAACTGTCATAATGCTCAAAGGGACACAGAACTTGTTCCTCACGCATGTCCACAGCTGCCTGAGCTGAAAACCTTGGAATCTTGCACACATCTGACCAGGTGTCGTGTCATGCCGGTGTTGCGACCTTGGATAGCCACGAATTCCTTTCTCCATTGTGGCCACTGTTTTCTGTCTGGCCCTGGCAGCTGCCTTTCCCGGGTCCTACCGTGAGTATTGCCCCTCGGTGAGACCCACGTGGACCCCCCATTGGTTATGGCGGCGCAGTGGTGCATCCCTCACTCTGCCATGTCTGATTTAAAGCATGGACCCCACACCCGGGGTCCCTCAGGCTAAAGTGTATACCTCCTCAATTCCCTTTCCTTCTCATGAGGGTCTAGAGCAGGGGACGTCGAGGTGGAGGAACCCAAACAAGAACTTACAAAAGAAACCAGGGGTCCCTCTGCTGGACAGTTCGAAGAATTCCTTGGCTTCTTCAAAATCCTGTCACTCAGGAGGGTCTCCAGGAAAATAAGCCCTTGCCTGACCTGTGGATCACAGATCTTTCTGTCTTCTCTTTCCCTACTCTGGAAAGGTACAGGCGGAAGTGTTTTTGAGGACAAGAAGCCTATATTCTATCTTTTGTGGAGAGAATCTCTGGGAAGGGAAGCCAGAGTGGATCCATCTTTGATGTCCAAGCTACCTTTTCCTGAGAAGAGGCATTTTCTTTCGACCAAATCTCACCATGTGGTCCATTACATATTTCATGAAGGGATCTACACAATGCTGCTAGCCTGGTAGTCCAGTCCTCGAATCTTTGTAAATTCTGAAAGTTACAGCTGCCCTTTTTTGTTTCAGCGATGACACCCACAGCCAGTCACCTTTACTATCTCCTTCCCAGTGAGCGTGATGCACTAATGAAATCATCCTGGTTACTCAGGGAGATGCGATTCTCCCTGCAAATCCCCCGGGGCTCCACAAGCTGCCAATGCGCCTATATTGAGCCTCACTTTCTATGCTGTTGCTTATTCAGAGCGAATTCCTCTTGAGAATCGTGGTTAGCAGAGAGCTTGGTAGTGTCCCGTCCACCTGGAACAACCAGAGCAGCACAACCTCGACTTGGAGACTTCCTGGAACATACTCTGTGGTGGTTCAGAGTGTTCCCCGAAACAGCTCGGGCCCCAAAGCTGTGGGACGTGAATGCTAGCTCTCCTAGCGGGTATAAGACGCCCTTAAAAACATTTTGTTTCCAGCTAAGTGTAGGGTCACAGAAGACACAGCGACTGTGCGGGGCAGGTCAGTGTGGCTCTCACCTAGTTATTCCTAATGTTTACATCACATGTA